TTATTCCCTAACCGGGTAATTGAAGTCTTTTGTTGAACAAACTAATTGTTGTTGTTGTTGTTGTTGTTGGGGATTCACAGCACTGCTGTTGGGATTCTTGGTCCCGGCGTCTTCTCTAAAACAATGTCCACTTGTTTCTGCACGTGATACAATCACAGAATAATTGCCACGTGCACGTTGTCATTTCTGAAAATCTCTCGTTTACAAATTTCCACATCGTGATTAAAATTCTCGTCTTGAGGCCGATTCGTTTATCAAAATAAATATATGGTTCTAATCGATTTACAATGCTACTGGTTCTGAAAACAAATTCGTTTCTCGCTTTTTCCGTTCTCACTTTTCGCATCTCAAAAATTTCTGTATTTCTAGCCCGTGTGGTTCGCCTGTTTAAAACTATTTCATTTCGTTCATTAGAATCAAGACTGGCAAGAAGTAAGATGTTATTTAGCTGGATGAACATGGGCAGGGGTAAAATGTTTAGCAAGCGTAGTTCGTTGATGTACACTCCCGTTTTATTTCCAGTGATCCATCGGATTACTTTCTTTTGAAATCGCTCCAACTGCAATTGATCCCCCCTCGATATATGTGTACATGAGAGTCCGTATAATAACACTGGGAGTATTAGTGACTTATACAGGCCTAAATTTACAAACGTATTTATCTTTGCTGATAGGTTTCTTCTCAGGAGGTACAGTACTTGGTTTGCCTTCTTTAATCTTGTTTCAATGTGTACCTTCCAACTTAAATCGCCCGACACAAAAATTCCCAGATCTTTCACAACCATCGATGTTCCAAGCACTACACCAAAAAGCATAAAGTTAGCGTCTCCGCCCCTAAAACTTACTTTTGCACATTTATCTAGTGCTAATTCCATTTTGTTTTCAGTTACCCACTGCTGAATTTTGTCCATATCTTCTTGAATTTCAATTGATGTTTTTTTGATGGAAAGTAGTTTAAGATCATCCGCAAAAATATATGGTTCAGAGAATTTGAGTACTTCAGGTAGGTCGTTAATAAAAATGCAAAAGAGCAGTGGTCCTAAAAGTGATCCTTGGGGAACACCACTAGTGACTTCTAAAACTTTTGAGCTGATATTGTCTACTCGTACAAACTGTTTCCTGTTTTTCAAATAGTCATAGAGTACCTCTAACATGCAGCCTCCTATTCCTATAAGTGCAACTTTCTTAAGTAGATCAAAATGCGGAACTTTATCAAAGGCTTTTGCAAAGTCAGTGTAGAATGCTACAATTTCTGCGTTAGAGTCATTGTCAAGCGCTTCATATATTTCTTTCAGGAAAGAGAGCATGTTTGTCAAAACTGATCTACCTTTAGTAAAACCGTGTTGATGTTTCGTCAAATACCAGGCAAAGTAAGGGTACAGGTCTTTGTATATACATTTTTCAAGGACTTTGCTGTCAATATTTAATAGCGATACTGGTCGATAGTTGTTCACCATTTTTCGGTCACCTTTTTTGTGAACAGGAGTAACTGCAGCTGTTTTCCATGAATCAGGTATTTTTCGTAGGCGTTTTACGTTTCTCAAAAGTTTGTTCATCGGTTTGCATATATTGCGGTTCGTTTTCTGAAAAAAGCTAGGTGGCAACCCATTGTTGCGTCCAGAGTTGATAAAATCTCACTTACTGTCTTTTTCGATATATCAAAATTCGTGAACAAGGTATTTTCAAATTGAATATCTCTAATACTAAAACTTTCTTTAGGATTAAAAACTGAATGAAAGAAGTCGTCTAGCATGTTGACTTGTTCGTTTGGATTTGTGCTTTCAACTTCATCTTTTATGAGTAACTTAGGAAGACTTGTATGTTTATTCAAGTTCTTTAGGTGTTTAAAAATTACATTAGTGTTCCGTGTTCTAAACAATTCCTCTTGGTAGTTTTTCCTGTCCAATTCCGATGATTCAGTTACTAAATTTTCAAACAGTTTAACTTGTTGTCTTCTGTAGTTGGTCGGTTTGAGTATACATGATTGCCGTTTTGTTTGTAATTTTTTGATCAAATTTGAAGTGCTACTTGTTATCCAAGGTGGAAGTGATTTCCTATGTCTTGTTCTGAGAGGCACAAAACTCTTAATGATTTCATCCAAATATTGGGTGTACTCATCATGCATTTTGTTAATGTTTGTGTGGCATACTGGTTCAAATGGGTTCTCGTTTATAAAATTGTTTATTCCTTCAAAATCGGCATTTCCAAAACTTCTAAAATTTTCCAAGTATGGTTTCGGCTCTGATACCGTGCATTCAATAGACAATATTATGGCATTGTGATCTGAGCAGTCATAAATTTTGGAAACGTTAAAATCTTGTTCGGCACTTGTATAGCAATTCCGATAAAAGGCTACGTCTAGTATGTTCTTCACACATGTTGGGAAATCTATCGCCTGCCTAAAGAGTCCATTTTCAAAAATTTGCAGTATTTGGTTTTCTTCCTCGTCAGTACTGGTGAGGGTGTTCCAGTTTGTTTCTGGGAAATTTAAATCCCCACATAAGAGAAGCGGTTTGTTTTTAGGAATGGCTTTGATCAGTTGTTCAAATTCATGCACTTTGTATCTGTAATTACTGTTTTTTGGCGGATTGTAGAATGAGCCAATTATCATTTCAGTTTGATGAAGTTTTATACTACATAGCACACATGAATCAGGAATGTCATGTTTGGTGGATAAGTCCTCGGTAATTAGACTATTCTTGACAGCTATTAGGCTGCCTCCGTGACAGTTTTTACCACTCACAATAGCTCTATCAGATCTATAGATGTTATATTCACTTAGAAAAAGCTCTGATGATTGAATATTCTCGTTAAGCCAAGTTTCGCTTAAGCATATGACATTAAAATTTCCAACTGCAATTGCATTTGCTAGCTTAGTTCTTCTATCTATGTTGATTAGGCTTCTAGTATTTAGTTGCAGAATGTTGAGGAATCCTAGTCAATGCTGGGGTTCCTGAACTTCAGTGTCAATAGTTACTTTCACACCATCATTGAACAATTCTAAATTCCTTATTTTCAGCTTTTCGCGAGGAACGCCTTCATCTAGTAGTTGTCTTCGTTTCTTAAGGATTTCGTTCTCTTTAATTGCACTCTCTTTGGTCAATGCTGGTAGCAGGTAGACCTCTTTTTCGACCAATTGTTCTCGCTTTTCTCGGCTTTTTGCTAGTACTAGTCGTGCTTCATGTTCGCTAGGTACAGTTACCAGCAGTGTTCTTGGCTTCATTCGATTACGATCAAATTTTCCCAGTCGTTTTAGTTCTATTATTTTCGGCTTCACTCCAATTATGTCTAGTATTTCGTTTAGTTCGTCATTTGTTGGGACAAGGTTTTCTCCTTTTGTTTTCTCAGGGTCCTCTTTGACCCCTTGTATCCTAAAACTTTGATTTTTGTTGTGATCAGAGTTAGATCTGGCAGCATGTTGAGGGGTTTGAGCTTGATTTATCCGGGTGGTGGTTTCAGCAGCTACAACGGCACTATAAGTTTTTTCCACTTTATCGCATGTCGTTTTCATTGCATTTCCAATTTTTTGATCTACTAAATCGGTAAGTCTTCTTTCCATGCTTTTAAGGCTTTCAGTTACATCAATGTTTGAGAGCTTCTCGTCTATGTTGGCCAGGGTTTTGCATCTTATAAAGTTGTCTCGTTCATTATTTTGCACACAAGTATTACAAAGCAAAATGACATTCGGCCCTAGTTCTTTTATTCCATTTATGGCCACTAGAGACAACCCAACACAAGTTGGTTCCAAATGCATTTGAGCGTTGCATGCGACACAAGTGTATGTTTTCTCGTTGCCGGCAAAGCCTCTTTTACATGTTTTGCAGTTTTTGCCCATTTTTGCTTATACTATGGATAGAAAAACAGTTAAACCTCGTGGTTCCCGAAAAGGGGAGGCCTGTGGCTCACTCAGGGGAAAAAGAAGAAATAGACAAACCTGGTGGTTCCCGAAAAGGGGAGGCCTGCGGTTCACTATTTCTACTTACGTTAATAGGGGCACTGACAGTTCTTGAAACGACACTCGTAATATACCAGATGTCCTTCTGTATTGCAGATGTTCGAATGTTTATCGTATAAGATTTTATTCTTGAGAATACTTTTAATGCCCTTCAGACCTTCTTCACTGAGGTGCACTTCGTCAGTTTTCAAATGATATGAGCTGTGGATTTTTTAACTCATTCCTCTAAACTTCCAAGTTCCTTTTATCTTTCTTAGGAATTCGTTTATTTTTGCAGATCGAGCTCGGTTCTCACTACGATGAGGGATTCCGATGACGAAAACTTTTTCGGGCCCCAGGTAGGGACAAGATATTGAAATTTGGAAAATCAAGATGGCGTGCTTGAGAATCCGCAATCAGGAGCTTTTTTGAAGATGATGTCTTGAGCAAGTGATATCTTCTGTCGGACATTTTATCGCGGGGCAACCATTGCTACCCCGGTAAACATTTCAAGTATCTGAAACTATTTAATAATTGAGTTAAAGCTAATTACTTAAACTTCCAGAATTATCTTAGTTGAATTATTTACGAGCCTAGATTCATGTCTACGTGTGAGTATTGTTGAGATAAGGCGGGTCTTAGCTTGATCCATCTGAAATGGATCAAAGTTCCACTGTCCTATAAAAACTAATGGTATACTTGAGTTTCTAACCCTGTTTTTAACGGCGTTCGAGTGTTTTAGGTATTTAGCCATGGGGACCTAGCCATGGGGACGTTCTTATTTCTAGAGTGGTGGGGGTGTATTTTGGTAGTGGCCTTTAAGTTGTAACACGATTTTGTAGTCCCATGTCTTAAGCGAGCCGAATTGGCTCCTACAGAATGAGGTGCAAAAACACAAATGATAGTGTCCTTGAGCCAATGGTTATAGGGCCTATTCTTCTTAACCTCATATGTGACATAAGGGGACGATTGTTATAGATGAAACCGGTTCCCTCCAAATTAATTCTTTCATTGTTTTTCATTAAGAAACATTTTATTTGAACGTATACTGCCCACTTCGTTTCAAATTATATTTCTTTATTTTTTGATGTTTTTTTTTTGATTGAAAATGTTAATTTCTGCATCTGGAAAGCGAAAAAAGAATCCTGATGAAGATTCAGCGAAGAAACAAAAGATTGACAAAACATCAACAGTAGAGGATGATGTCGCCGATATTGACAAGAATGAAGCAGATTGTTTAGCTGAACTTAGAAGTAGAGAAATATACAAGGAAGATGCCCTGTATCGAAAGTTCTTCCGAGGTTCGTTAACTGCATTTGAAACAGATCAAGTGAAAACCGTTTCTAATAAAGCAGTCATCAATGGAGATGAGGACCACCAAAAGAAAAATTTCAATAGTCAATCACTTTTGCCGCGTCTTAAAAAAATGTTTACTGGAAATTTTGGGGATCTAACTGGGTTGCAAAACCGTATAATGAAAGTGCTCGTAGATTATTCGGATTTTCGGAGCTCATTGATTACTTCAAACAATCTGCAAGAAATACAAAGGGTCGTTAGTCTCCACATATTGAATCATGTTTTAAAATCGCGTACAATTGTCTTGCAGAATAACAGGGAATTGAAGAGAGCGAGCGAACAGCAGATTGAATACCAACCTGATGACTATAGGGATCAATGTATAACCAGGCCTTCATGCTTAATTTTGACACCCTTCAGGAACTCTGCATACAATATTATTAAAGTTTTCTTCCGCTTATTTGAAGATAGTAAAAAGCATAAAATCACCAAGAAAAAGCGTTTTGAGATAGATTATGGACCGGATGGCCATGAACCTATCAGCGAGTACAGAGCGCAAGACTATCTGGATATGATGTATGGAAATACTGACGAGGATTTTAAATTTGGGCTGAGTGTATCTCCTGTGCAGATACGTCTCTACTCTCACTTTTATCGCTCTGATATAATCGTCGCATCGCCCCTTGGTCTATTTCAAATTGTGGGAGATATAAAAGACAAACACGGAGACAAAGATTTTCTTTCAAGCATTCAAGTTTTGTACCTTGATCAGGCAGATGTGTTGATGATGCAGAATTGGTCCCATGTAATTTCAATTTTCGAAATTATTAACAAAAAACCTACGGAAGCGCACGAAGCTAATTTTGCTCGTGTTCACGAATGGTGTCTTGACGAGCAAATGAAATATTTTCGGCAAAACATAATTACTTCGAGATTTAAGGCACCTGAGTTTAACTCGATTAGCTCCAAATTCTGCCATAACATTTCGGGAATTGTTGAAGAAAAAATAAGCAACGTGGGTAAAGGTCAGCTAAATCGCGTTGTTAGTCAAATTGTCCATGTGTTCAGAAGATTTGCTGCAAGTTCTTGCTCTGAGCAGGATAATGAACGATTTGGTTTTTTCTGCAATCACATTTTGAAGGAATTTCGTGAGCTTCATAAATGCAAAATAGTCATTTACATACCAGATTATTACGACTTTGTCAAAGTAAGAAACCATTTGAGGCGTAATAAGTATGATTTCGTTCCCATTTCTGAATATGACACGTACAAAAAAGCTAGAGATAGAATGAAAAAATTCCGCAAAGGCGAAGTGAAGTTCTTGCTGATGACTGAAAGATTCCATTTTTATAACCGGTTGTTCTTCAAGGGAATTGAACGACTATTTTTCTACCAACTGCCGAGATATGACCATTTCTACTCCGAGCTGTGCAATATGATCGGAATCGGGGCAAACAGTGATTCGGTTGAGTTGTCTTGTAGTACTATATTTTGCCAGTACGATGCATTGCGGTTGCTACCAATTGTTAACGAAGAAAACTGTAAGAAGTTGATAAATTCATCCAATTTGACACACATGTTTATAACTGGTGGTAATTAACGTATTTCGAAGTGGTAAGGTGTTTAACTTTGGTAAGGTGTTTAACTTTGCGATTAGCAAGTCCCCTGAAATCGAGCACTGAGCGATGTTCTGACATTTATATCTTGTTGATATTTTTGTTTCATGGGAAAGTCTTTATCTTTGCAATATTCTTACAGTTTTCAACAGGGTACTAGACTTTTGACCGTAAATGATTTTACACACAGGATGCTAGAATTTAGTCATGCTAGGCAAATTAAGTCATCACTTCATGCTAGGCAAATTAAGTCATCACTGTGTTTGACATCCATTTGTGTTTCCTAATCACTGTACCTGATGCAACTGAAATTGCAAAAAATTGCAGCAGAAAATAGATGTTTTTTGTCGGCAGTTTGAATTCGGCCTTATTTTTGTCGCTTTACTTGCTCGCATTTTGCTGATTTACTAGCGTTTTAACAGTTTTTCGAAAACTAATTTCATTTTTGTAAATTTAATTCTAATCAATTCAGTTTAAATGTAATTCCCAAGGTTGTTAATTTTTGTGTCCTCCAAAAGTTTCTGTTAAAGCGAAAAAGATTTGAAGTAGATGCCAGGCTTTTTAAGCTTTTGTTTAGTTTTTTGTAGTCTCAAATTGGAGGTAGCCTCAAGAAATTAAGCATTTTTATTCTCGTATGGCTCGAGAAATTTCAATGTAAGTCGATAAGGTGAAAACGATTCGAATGGTTTGAAATTTAGCTGCAGTTTTTTTAAATGAAAATCCAAAGTTTTCTGGAAATTACTCACTTATTATTTCTAAGTTGTAATCTGAAGATTTTTTCTGATCGGTTTTGAACGAAGAGCTGTCAAAGGCTTTTAGTGAAAAGCAATAGATTCAAAAGTGTTTTCCCCCAGTTGTCTGTGATTGGCTGTAGTTGACTTTTTTCGCCAAAGGTTTTGATCAGTTTATTGTCTATAGGTTATTTAGTTGGCGTTTCACTGGACACATGTTTAAGAAGTCTCTATGTCGACATGTTTAAGCTTTCTTAACGTAGTACTTTTTGCATATTTCACGAAAGAATTTTTGCATATTTAAGCTATTTCGTATATTGTAATGTTTTAAATTTTTTGGCTTATGTCTATGAAGTCGTTATGTTGGTCTGCTAAAAGGCCAAAACATTGCAAGGTTTGAATTGTTTACTCAAGTCGACGTTGGAGTCAAATCTGTTGGAACGTGAATGCTTTAACTTTTTTTTTCTCCTTTATTCACAACGTAAATTTTTTGTTTTCAAAATTTATTTAATTAAGTTCTCAACCCTATAGTGGGCTGATGTCAGGCTACGCTCAGGGGTTGCAAAGCTGGCGTCAAAATATGACTGCTCAAATCTTTTTGTTTTCGAGATATGGTGTTTTTTATGATGGTTTCAATTTGTTTTCAGAAAACTTAGTTATAAAAAACTGACCGAATTTGAAGTTCTCAACCCCATAATGGGATGGTGCCAGGGTACACTCAGGAGTTGCAAATATGGCTTACTAGCATGACTGCTCAAAGCGTTTTTTATGATTTTTTTTTCAAAAAAATTTACGAGATAGAAAAAAACTAACCGAACTTGAATTTCTGAAACTTATAGTGGGGTATTGTCATGGAATAGTCAGGGGTTGCAAAGCTGGCGTCCAAATATAACTGCTCAAATCGTTTTGATTTTCGAGATTTGGTGCTTTTTAAGATATGTTTAAGTTATTTTTCAAAAATTTGAATGAAAAACTAACCGAACTAGAAACTTTTCAACCCAATTGTGGGGTGCTGTCAGCGTACCCTCAGTGGTTGCAAATCTGGTGTCCAAGTTTGGTTGCTCAAATCATCTTGGTTTTCGAGATATGGGTTCTTTCAAAAAAACTTGGATATAAAAAAAATTAATAGAACTTGAAATTCTCAATCATATGGTGGCGTGCTGTCAGGGTACGTTCAGTTGCAACTTTTCTTCGGGCTCCTGTCAGTTACTCATCGGCGTTGCCAATCTGTTCTCTAATTATGACTCTCAATTTTGCTGTTTTTAGGTGCAAAAGCTTGAAGTTTGCTGTTTTTCAGCTCTAGAAATGTTCTGAAGCTGATTTAGGCTTAACACAAGCCCAACTGAGCTTCATAGAAGGAATTAGAATCTCTTTTTTGCTTTCCGAGAGGTGATATTTTTTAAATGATTTTTCTTTTAAAAAAAGTGAAAAACTAACCGATCTTGAAATTCTCAACCTTAACGGTGGGGTTCTGTCAAGGTACATTCAGGGGAAACTCTCAGGGTGCAAATCTGGCCTTTAACTTTTTCTGCTCAAAACTTTTGTTCAGATATAGCGTTTCTCAAGATTTGTTCAATACTTTTTCAATGGAAAAATTTAGGTTTACAGAAACAAGTAATAAAAATTGAAATATAAGTTTGAATTCGGCCTTATTTTTGTCGCTTTACTTGCTCGCTTTTTGCTGCTTTACTAGCGTTTTAATAGTTTTTCGAAAACTAATTTCATTTTAGTAAATTTACTTCTAATCAATTCAGTTCAAATGTAATTCCTAAGGTTGTTAGTTTTTGTGCCCTCCAAAAGTTTCTGTTAAAACGAAAAAGATTTGAAGTAGATGCCAGGCATTTTAAGCTTCTGGTTAGTTTTTTTAGTCCGAAATTGGAGGTAGTCTCAAGAATTTAAGCATCTTTATTCTCGTATGGCTCGAGAAATTTCATTTTAAATCGATAAAGTGAAAACGATTCGAATGGTTTGAAATTTAGCTGCAGTTTTTTTTTTTAATGAAAAGCCAAAGTTTTCTGGAAATTACTCACTTATTATTTCTCAGTTGTAATCTGAAGATTTTTAAGCTAATTTCCCAACCCTGTAGTTGTGTGCTGTCAGAGTACTTATAAAGATTGCGAATGTTGCCTTGAAATCTTGATAGTTTTCGAGATGTGAAATTTTTTCTGGTTCTCAAAAAAAAAATTTGTGGTTCTGTTTTTTAGAAAACTTAAGGTAAAGTTTCTCAAATTTGAGTTTCCCAACGTTGTAGTTGGGTTCTATAAGAGTACTCTCAAAAGTTGCAAATCTTGCGTCCAAATGCGATTGCTCAATTGCTTTTATTTTCCTAGATGTGACGTTTCTTAGTTCATTTTAAATTTTCCGAAGAACTTATATAAAACTTATATAAAACACAAAATTTTATGGTTCTTCAAAATTTGTATAAAAAACTTAACAAAAATGTAATTACCAACCTTGTAATTGGGTGCTGTCAGAGTACACTCAAAGAATGCAGATCTTATTTCTAATATATGCGGTTTAATATGAGTGCCGGAGATGCGTTACACGCTACTTTGTCTTGAATTTTTTTTTGAAAATTCGGCTTTTTTGATTTCCTTTTGTTCGGCTTAATAGGATTCGGCCAATACTATATCGGCTAAGTGGCCTCGTTTTGTTTCATTTGACGCGCTTATAATCTTTTCGTGTGAGTGTGTATGTTTGTGGCTGAGGGATACTTAATAAATTCTTTGAATGTTTTTCGGCTTAAAGGGTTTCTTCTAATGTATTTTCGGCTTTGTTACCGCTTGATAATTTTGTTTCGATGCCAATGTTATATTCAATTGACTTGGCACGTTTTTAGTTCAAAATAAACCATATTCACTCTGATAGATTTAGTTTTTCGATAGATCTCGAGTTTGTGGCTTTCTTGTTTTTTATCGCAAGTCGTGTGAAGCTCAGTTTCGCCTCGGTGTTCCGTGTAGTTTCAGTGGGTTCTTAAAAAACTTTTGTAAAAATAGTTTGTTTTTAATTTTTTTGGCTCATTCGGTGTCTGCTCAAAGATGGTCAGCTTCGTTGACACATCCCGGTTTCTTGCGCGGTGGGTGAATTTTATTCTAGTTTTAAGTGTTGTTCATTGTACTTTCAGGAGGGACTTGAACTTATTTCTCTATAAAATCTTGTTTTCGGCTCAACTGTGTCTGCTCAAAGATTGTCGGCTTTGTTTCCTGTTCGTAAGTTTTTTCCCGTTGCTAATTAAATGTTGGCATGTTTGCCTAGAATGAACGTCTATCAAGACATACGAAGGTTTATTTATTGCTACACCTAGTTTTTTCAATATTTTTCACTTTTTTTCGACTTATGTAAATTATGCTTGCTTGTTTTGTATCGCAAGTGATGCAAGCTCCGCATCGCCTCTGTATATAAAAAGTCGGCAAATAGTTTTATTATGAATGATTCAATTAATTGTTTTTTTTTACCATAATTAATAGAAACTTCCTGGTTAATCCAACTCGCACACCCTTCTTTAAATAATTCACCTTGAACATAATTCAGTTGAAATATGTTTTGAGAACGGTGCTTTTTCTTAGCTTTTCATTCAAATTTTGTTTTTTTTTCCATTACTTTCACACTCTTTGTATTTTAAGTGGCGCGAAACTCGCTTCGCCGGTTTTAACTTAATTCGCGTTCAAATTTAATTTTTTTTTGGTTTGAATCCTGATTTTTTTCCGAAAGAACATGAATTACTTGGTTCAGAGGGTGAATGTGTATTTGAAGAATTCACAGTGCGATGAAATTAATTATTCCAGTTTTGATGGCTTGGTTGCTTCTACTTGCATTTTGTGTTCGAAAAACAGTCCGATGTGTGCAGAGGATTAAATTTCGAATCTTTCACTAAAATAAACATGCTTTAACTTAATTAATGAGCTTTTTCTGAAATTTTGTGGGCTGCCATTTTTTTTTCGAAGGCAAAGAATTCAGTGAGTATTCACATACTGATTGTTTGTAGATTTTTGATGCGATGCTCGACAAGATTCAAATTAAATGGTTATCTCTTGTTGTTGGTATTTCTGCCTTTCCAACCGTGTTCATTATAAAATTCATACTCAGGCACTTGGAAGACCGAAAGGCATTAAAAGCTGTTCTCTCCCAAATCAAGGCTCTGGAAATGCCTGTGAGCAGAGGGACGTTTTACGACCTCTTTGAGAATCAGCAACACGAATTGGCAACTATAGAAGACAAGCATAAAGTGCGCGTGAAGATGGACTGCGACACCTCATCTAATAATTTTTCTGTTGCAGTTTCTGGTTTCAAAGGGTACGTTGAACCAGCTTTCGATGAGCTGAAGTTATTGCTTGCAGAGATTAGTAAAGTGGGAACGAAAGAAATATTTGTGCCAAGCCATGTAATGGAAGCACTGGATTTGAGACACTTAATTCAAAGCACTTTGGCTACTGAAAATCCAGAACTGCATGCGACAACTGAATGTTTGAATGAAAATCTATCATTAAGCGGAACTTGCTCTCAAGTTAGAAGAACAGAAGAATTTTTGCATGAACTTCTTACCAACTTTTATAGCAAAAATTTCAGTATAAAAGTTAGTTCCAAATTAGCCTCGTCCTCTGCAGGCAGTCAATTCGACGTTTATGTTTCTGCAGTTAAAGATGTGGATAGTTTCTGGGTGCAAGCGGTCGATGAAAATGCTAGTTTGTTGGATGAATTACAAGATGACCTGGCAATTAATTTCGAGAAGTTGAACCCCTTAGCCTCAATCATTAATGGCACTTTCTGTGCGGCGCCTTATTACGATGCAGGGGATTGCAACTATTTCAGAGCCAAAATATCCGACAAGGGTACGACCAATGCCAAAGAATGTTACGTGGAATACATTGATTATGGCGATGGAGCTGTGGTCCCTAGGGATGGTTTGAGAGAATTAAAACCACACCAATGTGAACTGGCAGCGCAAGCTCACAAATGTCGGTTAGCTTCTTTCGATCGGTCTTCAGGATCAGCCGTATCGAAGGTGCAGCTTGAAACATTTGAGAGACTTTGTTTGCTAAACCAATGGGTAGCTTTGAGAATGATTGTTGTGGAAAATGACGTGGATGATAATTGCCTGACTGTGCGTTTGTTCAACAAAAACTCAAATGTCGAAATCACACTAAATTTGTTATAATTTTTTTGTTCAAATGTCCTAAAGAGTCAGTAGTTATATGCCTTCACTCACTAGTCCAGGCTTACTTTTGAAAAGAAGCCGATCTAGGTTGGTTTATCGATCGAAAAGTTTTTTTGGTAACTCTTGGAAACCACTATCTAGCCTAAGTTTCCTATGGCGTTTTCTGAAAATTTGCCAGCAATAAGATTTTTTTGCTCATATTTTGCTTGTTTGGGGTCTTTAGCAAGATTTGCTGGTCGATCTGGGGCTGTGCTTAATAAAAAAAGTCTTATTTCATTGTCTTTACTTCTAAATCCTCCCATTTTTAATGTTACCTCTGTCTAGAAGCTTGGCTTGTCAGACAGTTTTCGGTTTGTGACTAGCAAGTTGGATTTCATGCTCATATGTTGAAAACTAACCTGTTTCTTGTTTTATTTCAGATTCAAAATGGTTTTGGCAGAGCTGGGCCGTAAAATAACGGGCGCTTTAAAAAGCCTGAACAGCGCAACAGTGATTGATGAACGGGCATTCCAAGACACCCTGAACTTGGTATGCAGGGCTTTGCTGGAGAGCGATGTGAATGTGAAACTGGTGCAACAGCTGAGAACCAACATCAAGGCCCAGATAGATATCGAGAACATGGCCAGTGGTCTGAACAAACGAAGGATGATTCAGGCAGCTGTTTTCAAGGAACTCGTCAAGGTATCTGGCTCTTATCAGAGTTTTTATCCACTAATCAAGGCAAACCTTAGCGGTCTTTGTTTTCATTTCAAAATAATGACAAAACATGATTGCCAAGAGAACCTTCTTTGGTTTTAGAAGATTCAAGGTCTTAGATAATTTATTTTTTTTCCAGCTCGTTGATCCGGGAGAAGACTCGTGGACACCCACGAAAGGAAAGCCGAACATCATCATGTTTGTCGGTCTGCAAGGAAGCGGCAAAACGACAACGTGTACTAAACTGGCCTATTATTACCAACGGAAGGGATTTAGAACTTGTCTGGTATGTGCTGATACTTTCCGAGCGGGTGCATTTGATCAGTTGAAGCAGAATGCGACAAAAGCGCGAATCCCTTTTTATGGAAACCAAGTCGAAACCGATCCAGCTGTGATTGCCAAAGAAGGAGTGGATCGATTTAAAGAAGAGAATTTTGAAATAATTATTGTTGATACGAGCGGACGACACAAACAGCAAGAGTCTCTTTTCGAGGAAATGTTGCAAGTGAACAATGCTGTCGAGCCAGATCAGGTTATTTTTGTCATGGACGCCTCAATCGGTCAAGCTTGCGAAGGTCAGGCAGCAGCTTTCAAAAAGCACGTGAACATCGGCTCCGTTATCATTACAAAACTGGACGGCCATGCGAAAGGTGGAGGTGCTCTGTCAGCTGTTGCTGCGACGAAGTCTCCGATTGTTTTTATCGGAACTGGTGAACATATCGATGACTTGGAACCATTCAAAACTCAAGCGTTCATTCAAAAACTACTGGGAATGGGTGATTTGAACTCTCTCTTCGAGAAAGTGACAGAACTTAAACTAGATGACAACGAGGAGCTAATGACGAAGTTACATAAAGGACAGTTTACGCTGCGAGACATGTACGAGCAGTTCCAAAACATCATGAAGATGGGTCCGTTTGGGCAGATAATGAATATGATTCCTGGTTTCAGTCAGGACTTCATGAACAAATCTACCGAGCAAGAGTCGATGGCGAGACTGAAGAAAATGATGACTATTATGGACAGCATGAACGACCAAGAGTTGGATAGCTTAGAAGGTGCCAAAATCTTCTCCAGACAACCGGGCCGAGTATCACGTGTCGCTAGGGGAGCTGGAGTTTCCAACCGGGATGTGCAAGAACTGCTCACGCAATACGGCAAATTCGCTCAGATGGTGCGCAAAATGGGAGGAATCAAAGGTCTATTTGGTAAGAATGGAGACATAAATCCCAAGAATCTGAACCAAGGTCAAATGGCAAAGCTAAATACGGAAATGGCGAGAATGATGGATCCCAGAGTGTTGCAGAAGATGGGTGGCATGGGTGGACTGCAGAATATGATGAAGCAATTTTCCAGCACTCAGAAAGGAGGGGGAGGCGGACAAGGTCCTGGAGGAGGACCGAACTTTGGTTTCATGTGAAAACTTTTTTGATCTAGTGTAATTATGTCGCAATTTCTGACGAGAACTCATATATTGTTCAGAACTTTTTTTTACATTTGGTGACAGAAATTATAATTCTTAGTAGTCTGAGCAATAATTTCCTGTCAAGAAACAAACGCAACTACGGCGTCGTAATTTTATTGGGTTGATTTCTTTTTCCTAATTAGTATTTCAAATTCTGTAGGTTATATGAAGCGTGAATTTATGGGGAAGTTGCAGCATATCTAATGTATAAAATTGATATTTAACTTATCTGTTTTTAATGCTAGTTCACAGCATTACACGAGGAGCCGGTATGAGTTAGATTTTAGAAGAAAAAAAGTACGCTTGCGCAAGTGTTATCAAATCGGAATATTGAATTTTTCTGGTTGACCAATAGTTTAACAAAGTCACTAGAACCATTTGACACACCAGTTTATGTTAATGAAACTAAAGGTGTTAATCCGCACTCGGCAGCTGGTAGAAAGGTCCGGGGTTTGATACAGTCAGGAACTTTTTTTCAATAAATAGCCTTGTGACAGAAATTTTTAATCGTGCTTTGTTTGTCGGCTTGGTTGCTACTGCACAAAATTAGCCAATCATTTTCGACTTTTTACTCAAGAGTCACTGAACATAGTGAAGACTCATAGATACCCCTTGCTGATTTTTGTTGGTTTTTTTTTCTCGGGAAAACGTCTTAAAATCCTCTAATAACTACAGATCTGCATTAAAACATATTAATGCATTTATGAATGCACTTAGGTATATATGCACTTTTGAGTTAAGTTCTTAAATTGCGCTCTCTCAATACGAACGTGGAAATGATGCGAAAAGTTGTGTACGCCTTCTAATGGATTTTTACGTATAAATTTTCCAGCGGACTCAAAACTTTAGTTATTGATCCGGTTTTCTCAAAATGAGTTATTTTATCAAAATATTGTCAATCATAATTTTTTTCAAAGGGCATGATTTTAAGAGTCGTTGAACGTAAATCAGACTCTTCTATAAGTCGTGAGTTTTCCTTGTTTTTTTTTCTAGGCTGACTTATGCTAATTTGATTTTTCGCGGTTTTACTTTTGATTTCTTTCAACTTTCAGTTCATTTCCTTTCTTAAAAGGAAGGCAGACTACTTAATCGAACAGCGAAAGTGTAAAGGCTACAAAAATTGTCAGATTTCCCTGCGAAACAAAATTCTTACCTATTGATCCAGTTTTCTCAAATTGGGTTAATTTTACAAAAAAAATTATCAATCACAAGTTTTTTCTGGAAATTCAAAGAGCATTAAGGCCTTATAGTTTTTACTTTGAAGCTCGAAAGTTCATTTTTTTTGAAAAAATTAGGTCAGTTTTTTCTTGTTGCCTTGCGTTCATCGACTCTTTTCCAACTGTCTGTTAGCTACGTAGTTCCGAAGTAATTGCGTTCCGAGCAATACCGCCTACAATAAATACCTCCAAAAGTTTTCTTCTTAACAATTTTTTTTGCCAGAGTTGAATTTGCCAAGTGACCTCAGATTAATCATAAGGGGTAGAAAATGCCTAGATCTTACGTAATTTTTGAAGTCTTTGATTGCGTGAAAATGTGAAATTTATGTTGCTGTTTTTACAGTAAACGTTTACCCTGAAGATGTAGAACCTATTGTTGAATCGCAGTTAGTGTGAAACTCTGCTTTGCCCATTTGTAAAAGTTCCTTTGAAAGAATGTGAAATTGTGAATAGATATTGAATATTAGATGAGATAATTTGTGATGTAATCAGGTCTTAAATTTAAACAAGCGAGCCCGTATAAAGTGTTTCACAAGCCAGATTGTTTGAAGGATCGTGACACCTGGTTTGATTCACGTAGAGGGCAGTTATTTTTCAAAACTATAGCGGCTTCAAAATTGTCAGCGGCTTAAATTGGATGTTAAACACTTAGGTTGACCCAGAGCTCACTTAACTGGAGCACCTTACGCTATGACTTAGTTGCAAGAGCTTTCTTCGGAAATGGCAGCCAGCGCGCGTGCGATGTGAACACGCACTCAGATGATTTCTGGGCGCCATCCACTGCCGGAGCGCCAAAATGTTCGCAATCTTTGCAAAGGCAGATTATTGGTCCACTTTCTTCGGAAGAGTTAATTTGATGAAAACCTTTATTCATGTGATGCTTCTATGTGAGTTTATCATTATTGTAATGCTTGCTATTTCTAGCGGATTAAAATCAATCTAGTAGATGCGTTCTAATATAGTTTGCTATTACGAATATTTGCAGGGAATATATCATTTTTGGCTGCGGTGTTTCTGCTTATTTTTATTGGATTGGTTTCCAATGGATGGACTTTTATTTAAGCTACTATTTTAACAGCATTATTTAGCAGTTGTTTCACTTGAGTCAAGTCTAAGTAGTCCCTGTGCTGATTTGTCAAATTGACAAAATTTTGCAAAGCTGAAAATATCCACGAAGTCATCTACGGTTTTCAACACACATAACGAGGCAAAGCTGTTTTTTTTTGTGAATTGTAAGCGGATTCCGCAACAAGGACGCTCTATTTGTTTTTATTTTGTTCTTTCGTTTTCTTTGATTGTTCAGACAAAATTTTAACATGTTGAAAGATTTATCTCTGGAATTCAGGAACTTAGAGACACAAAATTGTGCACCTATCCAGTGCAAAGTGCCTCGTAATGTACATCTGTTGGAGTGCGAATGCTTCAATCTTACAGCTGTTTTTGCTTTTTCGCTATCTTAACATTCAAAGATTGATTTTTGAGTGTTTTTATCACAAATTTTGAAAAAAGCAACGGTATGATGTGTGCTATCAGGGTTATATTATATTAGGAGTTGAGACACCGGTTTCAAAATCTGGCTGCTCAAATCTTTTAGTGTAAAACATATGATGATTTTTGTATTTTTTTTCTGCAAAAACAGGCTGATTGATGTCAAGTACTAATGCTTGCTTAAAGAATTCCTGACAGCAACTGACATGCGTTCGGGCGAATAAGATGAAATGATCAAGTTAAACAAGAATATCAGTGAAGAAATTAAAGTAACTATTCAATTTAAAATTTTGAATCTAAAATCTGGAAAGCGCTGTGGTGGGGTGTCATCTTTTTAGGGTCTCATTTCTGTGTTAAAAATAAAAAGATAGAAATTCCAGTTGTCTCAGACATAAACATATAGGTAAAGTTTTGGAAGTTTCCTAAAGGACCTGTCTCTAGTTATACACCATATAAGTAAAAAAAAATAGGCAAATCATTATTTTGTTTTTGATATTGATAATGAAGTAGAAAAAAATCATTCCAAGTCGGGAACCTCAAACTTTGATTTATTTGGTTCGTAAATAGTTTGAATTTGAAAGTAAAAACTTTGCTTGATGCTACCAGCCTCCACATCAAGACATATAATATAAGGTTAGATTTTGAAGCTTTAACAAGCAGTCGGCTAAGTGGAATGATTTTTCATTTATATGTGTTAATGAACTTTGCGATAAGCTAGGGTAATGGAATAGGGTAATAGACTTTTTTCCGTAAAAAGTTTGGTCACAGGGCCCATTCCTGGACTCATTGACTTCATTGTCCTCTCTGTTGCAAATACTAGTCCTCTCTGTTGCAAATACAGAGCTTGTTATTGAGCTCTTTAGGATTTTAAGTATCCGTTTTTTCGACATTTTTGAAAAAAATAGTTTGTAATTTTACTAATTCGATTTGTTAAATTAATTTTTTTGTTCTTGTTTATTTTTTTTCCACTCTATAAAATAGTTTTGACCTCTTATAAAATAGCATTGACGATATAAAATAGTTAGTTTCAATTTTTTTGTTTTTTTTAGGCTGATTTACCAATTATTTTTTTCCTGCAAGCTCTCGGTATGATATATGAAAGCGATAAGACTGTGGCGCCATTTTTTTATGCTCAAAATCAGCAGCATTTGGACCTCTTTAAAAAATTACATAATTTTCTATTTTTTTTCGTTCTCCTTCGTTTTTTTTTCAAGGGTAACATCTTTCGAACTCCTCTTTGCTAGTTTGTGAGCGCCATCCTGTTTTAACCCTGTAATTGTTGTATCGAAAGTGGTGCGAAGCTCAGCTTCGCCTCTGTGTAATAAATATTCTTCAACGTAGAAATCTAGCTTTCTTTGTTTTCCTCCAAGTTATTGAATTGTTAGATGCTTCCAGAATTTAATTTGGCCGTCCCTTTTTAAGTTGGAAGATGGAGATCCATTCAACTTAATTCATGCTAAGGTTCATTGTTTTCAGTTTTCAGATATGGTTGTCTTGCTACCAGATCTTTTCGAGAGAGTCTAGTAATTTCAGGAATTCGTTCATTTTATCGAAACGATTCAGAAAAAAATGTTGTTTTTTGAGTTTTGAAGCGGAAGTTAGTGCAGCAACATAACAAAGTGTTTATTACTTATTCAATTTACAAAGAAGAAATCGCAGTTGGCTGCCCCCAGCCTAGTTTTTTTGGTTGCATTCAATTCTGTTGATTCACTTATATGTTTTAGGAAGCAATTGCCACGATAAATGGTGGAGCACCGTAAACACGAATCTAGCGCTAGTTCAAAATTCCCAAATGTTTATTTTTCAAGTAAGCACTTACGTTTTTTGTGTTTAGTCTACTTATTTCTTACTGGTTTTTCTTTTCGGCGTTTTTGTTTCCGGTTTTCTTTCAGAATTCTTTGGCTTAAATGGTTTCAACTTATGTTTTATCGGTTTATTCGCTTCATAATATGGCGCTTGAGGGGCGTAATTTTTATCTGTGCGTTAATTTTGTGATGGGGGCATAAAGTTTTCAGAGTTGCTTATAGATCATTTTATGCAGTTTCTTTGTCTGTCCAGATTTTTTCACTAGAAGGGATGTTAGGGCTCATTTTCAGTATCTACGTACTGCCTCGGTGTATTAGCCTCATGTTTTTCCGCACTTTTTGATGCCTGGTATTTAGGAGGCAGTGAGAGCTTTTATAGTGTAGCGAAATTGGCAAGGTATAGGACATCGAAATAAGAAGTTGAATATTTTGAGCGAAACTGAATTGATAACAGTTTATGTTGGAAAAATGTAATTGCATTGTAAAAATGTTTTTGTTCACAAATTGAAGGACAATCAGGGGTGGATCTAGGAGGATTTTCTCGAGGGGGGGGCGGATTTTCAAAAAATTGTCGAAAACTCTGACGACCTTTTTTTAGCTGACCAATTTGATTTTTCGAGCTCTCCTAAAGCACTAAAAACACTATGTTTTGGTCAAGTTTTCAGCGCCGCAGGCAGGGGTGGATCTAAGATTTTCTCGAGGGGGGGGGGGGGCGGAT